TTTCTATAATTGACTTTTTATTTTTTAAAACATTTGAAACGTAATAATGTTTAGCTTCTGTTTATGTTTTTGAAGTTAAAAATTAAAAGTTATTAACTGCATACAAATGATAAATTTTAATCAAGCTAACAAATTTTAATGAAATTCAACAGATAAAAAAGTTTACAACATTTCAAATTCTTTGCATAAATTAATTAGACTCGTTTAATAATTTAATATATTAAAAAGATTATAGACTTTATTGAATATGGTGATATAAAAATTAATGGAAAAATAGCAAAAAAAAAAAAAAAACGAAACGAAACGATACAATATCATAGACGACGTAATGCTCCAGCTCAATACATTTATTCCCACGAGATGCATCTATGTTTCCACCAATCCATGTATACAACTACTACGGCTACAACAACATTCAATCTTCTACCATCTCTATCACATACACATCCACCAAATATGAGAAAATGACATTTCATTGTTTTGATTTTATAAGAGTTGAGAAATCATTTTTATAGTTTTTTTAAAGTTTAGTTTTATAAAAATGTTGAATATTATTACAAGTAGCAAATATTACAAGCTTGAGAATAACATTTACGTCTTATTAATAACAATTAAAACTGAACGAAAATGGAAAAAATATCTTAAGTTTTAAATATTTAAAGAAAAAGATGGGCGAATGAATAATTGATTGAATAGACTTGAAAAATTTCAAAAAACAATTCATAAAATAAAATACATAGACCTGTTTTAGTGTCCATGCAAGTTGAACGTGAAACATTAACTCTAAACGTACATTACAGAGATATTAGTATTATTATTCATCAAAATGGAATTGCATTTTTTTTCCTATTTTCATGATGCACATGCATATTGTGTTTGTTTTAAAGTTGCATCATTTGTCCTGATGTCATGTTAAATAAATGAGTTAGGCCCGTCGAATTATGCGATCAATCAATCAAGTTGAAAACAATGCATTCATTCGTCCATTAATCATGAGATGAGATGAAATGTATGGCGCATTGTTTTGCCTTGCAGCAACAGCAGCAGCAGCAGTAACCACAGCAGTCGTCACGTCTTGATTGTTCAGCAAATATAATTATCTGCAAAGACAAATGCACCACGTTCATGATTTATTTGGGGAGGAATTTATTACCATTGCTTTTTTTTGGCAAGTTGTTATCAAAGAGGTGCGTACATCAATCTTCTTTTGCAGCATACTGCAAATAACAAATTTATTCCTTTTGTTTTGGGTTTGTTTTTTTATTTTTATGCTTTTTTCAAACAATTTTCTTTAAAAAAAAAAGTTGAAAAAATAAAATACAACAAATCTTTTGTTACTTACTGATTTTTAGTTGAAGAAAGAAATATGAAAAAAAACTCGCAGCAAAATTTCAACTGAATAACTTGTTTTAATTTGCAATTATTAAATACATATGCATTGAAATTATTATCAAAAATAATTTTCATTGGTGTGGCTACAAGTTTGTCTTGAAAGACATGGATGTTTGATAGAACGGAAGTAAAACTAATCTGAAGTTTTCGTACAAATTTATCGTGTTAAGTACAGCACTGCAAATTAGACAGGTTTCAGGAATTTTTGTAACGGAGGTCTCAATCCTTTTGAAAATAAATAAATTTATAATTAAAAAATAAAAAAATGATTGTATGTAAATAAATAACTGAAAGTAATTTTTAGCTTGATTACTCCTCTACGAATCTAATACGTCTTTCATCTACGTTTTTTATTTGCCCATTCGCTCATCATACGTACCTATATATAGCTGACTATTAAAAGCCCTAAGGATCAGTAATAAGAGAGCTAGATGCTAGCACATGTGGTGCTAGATGTGTGATGAAGACTTTACCATCACCAACGATGTTGGTGATGGTAAAGTTGATGTTTGGTGGTAATGTTAATGGAGTTGGTGATGGTGAAAATGTTGATGAAGTTGGTGATGGTGAAAATGTTGATGAAGTTGGTGATGGTGGTATTGTTGATGAAGTTGGTGGTGGTGAAAATGTTAATGACGTTGGTGATGGTGGTAATGTTGATGAAGTTGGTGAGGGTGATAATGTTGGTGAAGTTGGTGAGGGTGATAATGTTGATGACAGCGATAATGTTGACGAATAGTTCTTTGAAGTTTTAATGGTCGTCGCTACACATCATTACTCGCTCCCTAAAAACTGTTTACAGTCACTTTCAACCATATTTTCCAAAGAATTGTTTTCTCCGTTAGTCCTGTCTTTTTTTCATGATTTGACAGAAAAAATTTTAAATAAATGATAGGTTAAATTGTAGGAAGGTTTTGCAAGAAAATAACTTCTTCTTTATATTAATTTAACACCATTAATCTAAATCAAATTTCATAAAGACAATCTGAAAATTGTTTGAAAGCAGTGCATTACACAGCATGAAACAATGAAAGCCCAAAAACACTTTTGTACAATTTGTTGGTTGTTTCATTTCAATTCTAACTCAACTACACATTGCGTTATTTCTAAATTGGAATTTATATTTTGGTGTTTTCCATGATCAGTTATATAGTAAGAAGGTGCTTGAATAATATTTGATGAAATAGGAAAAATTAAGTAATTTAATTTCAGTAATTAATGTTGTTAATGTTGGTGTTATTTGAAATTTTAATTGTTGCACTTCGCATTCGGTAAATGTTCGTCAGTTTGTTCATGCGATAATCATAGCATTGTTTGTTTGTTCTTGTGAGTAGCACGTGCTTTATGACTTGTTTTCCTTGCAATATTATTCTCCCAGCCGTTTCCTCCTCTAATCAAACGCGTACGTTTTGTTGTTACTGCCACGGATACCATTATTTTACATTAACGTTGCTTTCGTAACGCTGTATCGTTTTAGAGTTTTTAATTTTTTTATTATTCTCCAATAAAGTATAAGCAATTGTTGGTATCTTTGTTATTTTCAGTAGCATGTATGGTAGATGATCCTTTGTCATGTTTCAATTTAAATGCATCTTTTTTAACTTGTTAGTCGCAATGTTATTGTCTTTTGTTTCTTTTATGTTTACATTACAATTATTTAAAAAACGTTTATTTCAATTTTGTTTTGTTTATATTTTCTCAATTACATGCATCATTATTTAAATTTGTCGACGTTTCACAATTTTTTAAAAATGTTATTTTTTATGTTTTTTACATATTTTTTCAGAGGATTCTTTTGTTAATGTAGCAAACATTACTGCTCATGTTTTAAATTTGTAAAAAGTCTCAAAATGGTGAAAAAAGTGACAGAAAGTTGATGGAAAATTAAAAATTTTTTTTGAAGAGTTGAATAATTAATGAAGGGATTAAATTATTTTTTCGTAAGGACTGTCACTTCCGTTTATGTTGTTGTTGTTGTTGCTCCGCTTCAAACGTCGCCAGACAGAAGAGTCCAGACGGGGCTGGAGCCAGTTGGCCACAGCAACCATGTTTTGCCAGAGATCCATTACCGTGAATTGTGTAGGCTTGTTCGGGCAGCTTAATAGGTGGGTAACATCGTCAGTATGTTTGCGGCATAACGGACAGTTACAGCTGACTTTACTGTCGATTCTTGCTTTGTAGCTGTAAAGAGAGATGCAGTAACTTGAGCGGAGTGTGGCCAGCGTTCTTCTCATTGCTCTGGGCAAACTCTAAATCTGTCTTTTTCTATTTTAGAAGTCGAGGGTGGCCATTCGTTGAGCAGTAGAGCGGCATGATATGACTAAGAGGCGAGTTTCGCGGCGCTTCTGTGTATAGTAGTTGATGCTGCATTTAGCGTACTGCTGTTTATGTCCATGTGCAGCACTGATTGCACCGTGTGTGAATGTTCACTTGGTCACTTTCATATTTCTGTAAGGTCGTGGCTCTCTTGTGATGTAGCGGCATGTAGATTTGAGTTGTTACATTGTTATAGGAACTTTGATGATAGGAGGTTGGTGTGTTGCTTTACAGAGAGCATTTAGCATTTTTCTTACAATTCTTCATGTTACGAATTGTTGTTGTTGTTGTTTGCCTTTTACGTTGCTATGTATTGTTAAGTTTTGTTGTTGTTCTTTATGTTGTTAATATTAACGTTGTTGTTGTGTGATTGATTCTGCTGTTTATGTTAACGTTGTTTATGTTTTTTGTTGTTTATATTGCTGTTGTTTATGTTTATGTTGTTTATGATTCTGTTGTTTCTGTAGTTTATGCTTCTGTTGTTTATGCTTCTGTAGTTTATGCTACACCACGTCACCACGTAAAAGACCTGGTGTTTCGTCATTTTTACAACTTCCTAGCTGTCGGGAGGTAGCCAGCAGTTTTCTCCACAATTTTATTGCATGTGTGTAGGATTTCATCTGCTAAGTTTGTGTTGATTCCATGCCGAATTGTCTTTATATTCTTAGTGTATGATTGTTTTACGTTTTTTGTGTGAAGTAGCCTTTTATTGAAATTATCCAAGAATTTTGATTTTATTTTCTCCATTTAACGTTTAGTTTCAATTTGTTAGATTAAATTATGATACTAAATATATTTGATATATCTATTAAATAATTTGTTTTATTGATTATAATTTATATTAAAATTATTAGATATTCTATATATGGGAATATGAAACTTTCAAAATAAGTTGAGGATTTTGAGTTTCATGACTTGAAAAATTTCTTTGAAATTCAAAAGTTGAGTGTATTAAACAATCATTGTCCATAAAAATTAAAAACAGATGACCGTCTCAAAAATAATTCTTCAGGAAGTTGTCTGCCAAAAAGTTAGACCTAACTAAAATTTTTAAGAACATATTTATTTCTATAGAACTAATATTTTCTTATTTGAACTAAAAAATAACCAAAATAAAGAGCAGTTATTCTAAATCGCATATTAGTATCACGTGACAAAGTGAAATGATTTAATGCACCCAGCTGACATTCGCGGGCAAGTCTGTGTTTAATTTCCAGGCAATCCCTGTCCATCGCCAAAATGCAAATTTATGCATTCAAGAACACCATGGCGGATAACAAATAATCCAACAAATGCACAAAATAACAACAACTCAACTAACAAACCCACCAAACTACGCGATGCCACGCCACACCACACCACACCACACTACGCCACACTACAACAGCCACAAAGCAGGTAACGTAACTACATACTGCTGTTTTTAACGTTGGAGTTGTGGCAGAAATTGTTTTGCTTGTAAATGGCAATAAATTGCCATCGCACTAATTAAGGAAAGCACAACAACAACAACAGCAACAACAACAAAAACAACAACAATAACAACAATCACAACGACAACAGCGACAACAATAACAACAACAACAATACCAACAACAACAATAACAACAACTATCTTTCTGATAGCATTGTTCTTAATTACAAAATATTACCAGGGACACAATAATAGTAGATGGAAAAAACACTACCAAATAAACTGCTTATACAAAAAAACAAAAATAAAATAACGCTAATAACGGGAATATAAACAATAACATGAATAACGATAAAAATACCAAGAATAATAATAAAAATTACGATGACAATAATAACACAATTATAATTACATTTATCAATAATAATGGGAACAGATTTTTTACTTTTCATCAAATGCGTAAAATCAATAATTAATTAATTAATAGAGAAATAGTCATGATTAAAATAAAATCATAATCATCATAGTTAGTCATCATTGCTCTTTATTTAAAATAAACTAAGTAAATGATAATTATAATAATAGTAATAATAATTATAGTAACAACAACAATGATAGCCATACAAGACTCTAGCAATGGTACGAATAGCATTAGCATGGAAATATAACTGTTTCACTTTCTATCGTAATGTCAACGTTAACGTAATGTTTATTGTAGTTTCTGCCATCACCATTAAAATTTATCATCATCGTCGTCCTCCTCATCATCATCATTGTAATCATCACTGACGTCATCATCGTCTTCGTCATCATTGTGATCATGACTGACGTCATCATCGTCGTCATCATCATCATCATCATTGACCACATCATCGTTTCTCGTTTTGATGGCACTTTTCCATTAAGACATTAACGCAATTGCAATGTCATTGTCATCATCATTGTCCTTATCATCATCAGATCAATGTCTTCAAGGTTGTCAACGTATGCATGTATTGTATATTGTATAGTATGTTCATCGCCAGCTTAGACATCGTCAGATTACTGATATCAATAAATTGATTAACCCCCCAATGAAAATGTAAAAATATTTGGAGTCATCTTGTTTTTTATTCTCTATAACCTGACTAAACAGTTCAGTGTTACATTTTTTTTCACATCATCGTCATCAGTTTTGTGGTTACTCATGATGAATCATCATTTTCAGCTTTTTTAGTCTTCATCACGTCTTCGTTTCAATCCTCATCATTGTCGACCTCATCTTCATCGTCGCCGTCCTTGTTTTCAGCCTCATTCACGTCATCAAAGACCTCATAAACCCTTCCACTAACACCACTACATAAATCGTCATCTTCCTCTCCATCATCACCACCACAAACAACATAACCACCCCAAACGTCATCCCCACCACAAACGTCATCACCATCACCACCACCACCACTAGCAGGTGAGAACGCAGACGACCAGTTCTACTTGAAATTGGAACTTTCCACCGACTCAGCTGTGGTCGGCGATAACTTGGAAGCAATCTGCCACGTCAACAAAACGTCATCATCATCATCATCACCTTTATCATCATCATCATCATCACTGTGGTACTCATCGTCAACTTATTTGTCGTCATCAACGTCCATATCGTTGGTGCCCCAAAGACAGACGCAACAAAAGAATTATCAAGTCATCTGGTTCAAGATATTTCCTGAGAGTAATGCTGATGAGATTGAGATTGCTACTAACGCCTACATCAACGATGAGTTCAACCATACCGGAAGGTTATTACGTCACGGTGAAGATGATGAAGACGATGATGGCTAAGATGGTGATGATGTGATAGAAATGATGAATGTGATGGTGGAAATGATGATAATAATATAATAATGATAAAGATGGTGATGAAGAAGACGATGATGGAAATGATGATGATGATGATGGTATTGTAATGTTTCGGTGGTTATGTTATTTACGGTGACGACGTTAATAATTTGCAAACACTTTGCATGAAAAACTTAGCAATTATGAGGACTTATGCAATATAAAAGTCATTTGTTAATGATGATGACGATGATAATAACGGTGTTTGTAAAGATTACGATGGTGATGATTATTGTTAATGATGATGTGAGTGAGTAGGATAATTTTAAAGTCTGTCTACATCAACAATTAAATAATCGCATAGATGTTTATAACGCTATCTATGATGTCTTGAAGATGATGATGTTTAGATGACGATGACGATGAAACGATTATATTGAAAATGTCAAATGACTGATTAAGAAGTAATGATGGATGATGTTTACATCAGCGACGAGAAGGTAATATTAATGAAGATGATAAAGAAGATGATAAAGTTGATGATGACGATGAGGATGATGATGACGATGAAGAAGAAGACGATGATTAAAAGGATGATGATGATGACGATGATGATGAAGAAGATGATGATTAAAATGATGATGATGATGACGACGATGAAGATGGTGATTTCGATGAAAAAGAAAATGATGATGATTAGAATGATGATGATGATTTGAATGATGACGATAATGATGATGATGATGATGTCTATGATGATGATGGCCTCTCCGGACGCGTATTGAATGATAACAACTGAATAAAAAATGACATTATAACCTTTTGGTTGACACCAATGAACTTCTTCCCGTCAACATTTGACCTAGGACCTATGATCTTATATACCTATATATCATTCATGAACATATTGCATTATGTATTCATCGCTCGATGATACTGTATCATACGTAGATTTTTATTTTGTATCATGCTTACATTTACAAGCAAATTGTATCCTAAGCCATACCTAGACCAATCTTCTATAAGTTTATTATCATTGTTGGTTATGTTATTACAAGATATATATCTGAAAACTTAATTCTGATTTGATAAATATTTAAACTTAAGTTGATAACAAGCACATTAAAATATATAATTGACGTTTACTCGATAATTAACATATTGCAATTTACCATTAACATTAAGCCGGTTATAATTAATTTCGGAGGAATAAATTAAACTTTACTAAAAATGTAGGTACAAAGCTGGCTATCGCCTACTGGACAAAAACAATCTGGACCAGGTCGATTTCTATCTCAAGATTTCAAGTATTTAATTAATTAATTAATTAATTTATTTATTATTTCAAATCTTTTAATTTTTGTTGAATTCTAAATAATTTTTCTTGTACAAAATTTTTAATAATTAGTAGCTCTTCAAATGGTTTACAAAATTTTGTGTTGAAAAACAAAAAACATATGCGGTGAAGATATTGAACAGGAATTAATGTTGGATTAAGTGAGGACATAGCTTTAATTTGTAGAAAGAAGCATAATTTGCTAATAATGAATTTAAAATTGAAGTTCTTTTAAAAATTGTATTTTCAAAATAGTTCCGATATTTGAAAAATAAATTCAAGTTAAATGAACATTCAAAAATCATCAGAGACATTTATTAATTAATGGGATTGCTGATGTTATTAATAAGCAATTAGCTAAAATAAATCTGAAATTGCAACAAGAGTATCGGAAATCTTTTCAAATTTAAATCATTTTCAGAGATATTTGTTTGAAATAAATAAATGTTCACAAACTTTATGTAGAGCCAGCAGTGCAGCGAGCTTGTACTGAAGCGCACGGAACCTAATGAATAAATATTGGGCAGAGAATTTTCAGATAAACATAGAGCAGAAAGTTGGACAGAGGAAATGTCATTCGAAATTTATCGCCCATCCTTTTCGTGACATTGATCTTATCTCTCAGATCATCAGTTCCCTTCACACTCACCACCGTCATCATCATTGTCCTCAGTTTAACTCCATCATCACCACCCTCATCTATTTACTTTCATTAATATCATCACCACCACACCACCATCGATCTAATTTCTTCTCTGTTTTCATCTTTAGCATCGTTATCATTATCATCATCACCATCATCACCGCAGACGCCATCAACATCTGGTTTTTTCCCACCACCACAATCCCTGCCATCTTCATTTCTCCACACATCCTGCAGAACATTGATCCGGGGAGCAAATATTTAAAAACCATCTCATACTCTCAACTTGTTGTTGCACTCGATATAACAAACATTATTTGACGACGGAAAATGTGTTTCTGATAAGGACTTGAAAATGGAACAGGCAACAGCCACGTGTCATATCGATGCAACAAACAAGTAAGCATAAGTACTGCACAAGATGATAGAAGTGAACACAGAAACGGATTAAAGTTTGCAATATGCTGCATGCTTTTGAAACTGGTACGGAAACGGTGGATGAAAAAATCTAGGAAAAATTAAACTAAATAAATCTTGTGTACTATGCGGCTTTTAAAATAGGAAATGCCAATTGATGCCAAATAAAAATTTGATGGATTGGTTAACCTTAGGCGGAATTTATCTTTTGGAAAAGTTTGCAAATCGTCCTTGAGTGAACTGGAAGCTGAATGACTTTAAACGATGATGACGATGATGACAATAATGTAATGTGAATAAAAACAACGTATAAGGTTCAGTATGTAACGACAGCACGAATGCACGTTTTGACACGGGTTGCAGATGAATGAATGTTTAACGCTGACTTGATAAAATTTCTTAGTTTGAAAATTTAATTATTATTTAAATAATGTAAAAATGTAAAATTAAAAAAATAATTAAAGAACTTCATCACAATTTTAAAGATGTAAAAACTATTTCGAATTAATGCCTGTCATCTGATGAAAGTCAGATTCGAATTTTTTTTCATCTTTGTTAAATAAATTTAAAATAGTTTTATTTAAGTTATTAGAAAAAATATTTATCGCTTACGTAATAACACGAAGAACCATTAAATTTATTCCTTAAATTAAAACATTTGAAAAATATTGAACGACCCTCTTTTCAGTTCTATGTAATCTAAGACATAGATAATCTTGCAAGAGTACAACAACAACGCTCGGTGCATGTCTGCTATCAACGAAAAAAAGTACAACTGCACTTTAAATTTATTAACATAGTTTTTTCAGTTCAGAAGAAAACCCTCAAACCTAAAAAAAACTATTTCATCTATTTTCATACTTGTAACTTAATGAACCTACACCTGGCGATTTACCAACACACACACACGCACGCACACATCCACACACATATATACGATTTATCAACACACATACACACAGACAGATTTCTCATTCAGACACAAAACACACATTCATATTTTAAATATAGATGTCACAGCATACAGAACTGTATACAACACACTACAAACACAACGCAACACACAAAACAGAACAACACACAACACAACACACAACATTACACACCCACAAACACAGCACAACACACAACGCTACACACCACAAACACAGCACAACACACAACGCTACACACCACAAACACAGCACAACACACAACACTACACACCACAAACACAGCACAACACACAACACTACACACCACAAACACAGCACAACACACAACACAGCACATGTTTGTTTCCGTTCTTATCTGAATGGAGCAGCCCAACAGGATGACAAACACGACAACAATGCCCGGTTGATTGACAGCGGCTTTATTACCGCAATATCGTTGTCAATGTCGATTTAATCATCATCATCATCATCATAATCAACATCATCATCATCTCTGTCGTCATTATCATCACATTCATCATCCTTAATACGGTCTGTTCCTTTGCAAGCGGGCTCGTTACAGCCCTCATAACCGACTGACATCCTTCCTCCATCATCGTCCACAACTTCGCTTATCTCATTCTTATTTCATACACTTGGAAACAAAATCATTCCATCGTTAATTTTTTCCTAAAATTACATGCAACAGACAATCATGAATGATTTCTTGCAATACATCCTTAGACATTCATGTCAGCATTTTGAATTGGTTTAAATTCACAATTCAAAGAAATTATCAACCAAATTTTGGGATTTACCATCGTCATCACAATTTTAATTCAAAGTAATTATCAACCAAATTTTGGGATTTACCATCGTCATCACAATTTTAATCATTACTATCATCATCTCTACAACCACCACCAACCACCACCAATCACCACCAACCACCAGATGTTCAGGTGGAGGACTCGGGTTACATAGGTTGCAAGATAGGACTGCCTGGAGTTAACTCGGAGAGTTTCCTTCCATTCAATGTCGTCGGTCAGTTTGTTGATGAATGAATGAATGAATAAATGAATGAATAAATGAATGAATGAATGAATGAATGAATAATGAGTAAATGAGTGAGGGAATGAGTGAGTGAGTGAGTGAGTGAATGAATGAATGGATGAACGAACGAGAGTGAATGAGTGAGTGAGTGAGTGAGTGAGTGAGTGAGTGAGTGAGTGAGTGAATGAATGGATGAACGAACGAATGAACGAACGAACGAATGAATGAATGAATGAAGAAATGAATGAAAAAATGAATGAAGAAATGAATGAATGAATGAATGTATTAGTTGAATAGGTGTATAACACTACCAAGAATAATTTCTGGGTACCAGGAAAAAAACAACGTGGAACAGGCGAATAAATGATTAATAAATGAATAAATGATTGGCGAAAGGATAACATAAAAAATGAATGAAGGCTTTATATAATTAGGCAGTATCAAAATGAATGGAAAAAAACATTTTGAGTGATTGACAAGATGACAAGATGAGAGAATGAGAAACAGAAAGAGAGAGAGAGAAAGAGGGAGAGAGAGAAGAAGAACGTATACTCTTAGAATATTAGATACATTGGCTAATAATGTTGCAGATAATATGAACATGAATGGAATAACTCTGTTGTTGATTGTTGCTTGTGAGTTTGTGATGCAATGGAAAGATCAGGCAAACAAATGATTTGAAAAAGGAGGAATGAATGATTGATTGAACACGCAGGTATATAGGAGAAAAAAAATACCGACGTTAAATTGATCTAATAACTATCAAATGTTATTATGCAATCAATCAATCAATCAATCAATCAATCAATCAATCAATCAATCAATCAATCAATCAATCAATCAATCAATCAATCAATCAATCAATCAATCAATCAATCAATCAATCAATCAATCGATCGATCGATCGATCCATCCATCCATCGATCGATCGATCGATCGATCCATCGATCCATCCATCGATCGATCGATCGATCCATCCATCCATCCATCGATCGATCGATCGATCCATCGATCCATCCATCGATCGATCGATCGATCCATCCATCGATCGATCGATCGATCCATCCATCAATCAACCTATCAACCAAACAACCAACCAATCAATCAACCCCCATGACTCGTCAATTAACTAGATTATTTTCAGCTTCTCAGACAGTTGCCTTGAAAATGTTGAGATACATTTTCAGTTTCATTAGTGATAAAAATGAAATGTTTTTTCGAGATATTTAAAATACGCATCTGCATTACTTTACCTCTCGTTTCTTCCACCCATCCATCTACCCATTCATCTATCTATTTATCTATCAATCAATCCATTTATCCATTCATCTTTCCATTCATCTATCCATTCATTTATCCATTTACCTATCCATACATCTATCCATACATCAAGTCATGCATGCATTTGAATTAGTAAACGTTATTTAAACAAGTAGTTAATCATCTACTGTCAAATAGGTCATTAAATGTTTGAACGTTTGTCACAATTTTTAACATTTCGAATTTAAACTAAATTAGCGCTGATGTTTTAGAGGGAACATTTTTGTTGATCTCTCCGATCATTGGTTCATAATCTGAACACAAACGCCCACACATACACACACACAGACAACGCACCTACACAAAAGCACACAAAAAACACACCTACACAAACCCACTCATTACCTACACACACACACACACACACACACACACACACACACACACACACACACACACACACACACACACACACACACACACACAAACACAGACAGCTTTACATACTCACATCCACCACACAGTTCCGGTATACAACATGTGGTGGAGTTCACCATCGTCATCTGGAGCAGACTTCAACTCGATGGTCTTTAGGCCAAATGAAGATCTTTCCTTCGTCGAACAGGAACAAGTTTTCTTCGTCTGCCACGTGAACGGCAGCTACCCTCAACCAAGGGTCAGAGTTCACATCGGTAGCGAGGACATTTCCCACTACTTCGCCAGCACCGCCAGACTTATCAGAGTGTCGGGAGTTCGTGGACTTCAGCCAGTTTATTACTCTGTCGAACTGACCAACCGGTCTCTCAGTATTGACTACCGATACAACGACAAAGAGTTGAAGTGCTCGGCCAGCATGACGCCGGTGGCTGGCGGGACTTGGGACGTCGAATCAACCAGTATTGTCGTTAAGATCACCGAGTGTTGGTGCTTCTTCTATGTTCATTTCAACCACTAACAATGACTCAACTCATTTCTTCTAAACATTTTGGTTAAAAGTTGTTATAGAAATATAATAAAAATTGCAGTTGAAAAATAATTTCGAACTCCCATTTAATGTTGAAATAATCTGAGAATGTTAAAAACTGACTATATAAAATGTTAATATTTTAATAAGATTCTGACGATATAATTGTTTGATATATTCTAAATTGAATTAATTTTCCATCTTTTATTATTTTATCTCAACAGATCGTCCAAAAATATTTTGCAACAAAAAACTTGGCATAAAAATCGGAGAGAATTTTACGTTTTCGTGCATCGTTAAATCTTCACCGAAGTTGCATAATTTAACGTTCTTCAAGCAAGCATCAGCGCATCAACATCGGAAGCAACACCATCATCATAAACAGCAGCATCTGCAGCAGCAGATACAGCCACCAAAACATCAGCAATCTCTAATTGCAGCAACGTCAACGACGAAATCGATGATGCCTTTCATGCCGCTTATATCACGACTGCCAAAAACAACGACAGCCACGACGACTAAACAGATGCCTTTAAAATTTAACAACTTCAACAACCACAACAACGACGACGACGACGACAACAAAAACAACAATCGTAATCAAGACATCAACGACAGTAATAGCAATTCAAAGTACAGTAGCACAAACAAGCGCAACAACAACAGTAAGAACTCTAACAGCAATGGCAACAATTCTGATGCTAACTACGACAACAGTGACAGCAACAACTCAACTGATCAATTTCTCGATGATTTTCCACCAAAGCTTGTCACCGAAGACATGGTTAGTAAGTTGGCTGACTGTTAATTCATATGAATAGTTTTGTTAAATTTTATGTTTTGTATTCAACTTGAAAGATAATTCCGTTGGCTGTAATATGAACTAAAATCATTTCTCATATTTTTTTACTAAAACAAAATTAATATATAATTATATCAGGATATTAGGTGAAAATATTAGTAGAAAAATAATGACGATTTAAATTATAAAATGCCAAGGTGATAATGACAGATGATTTACATGGCAGAGTATTGGACCACAACAACAACATCGTTAATGTAATGATGATGTAAAAACATTAACGATGTAACTTGATGGCAATGAATTATAGAGTGCAGATATAAGCCAGAATATAATTGAAGTTTTGTTTGTTATAGAGATAAAAATGTTGTAATTTTTTAAGTTAATATCGTTAATAAATATTTATTATACTAAAACTTACTATTGCTTGCTTGTTAGTAAAAATACTATCTACCTCGTTAATTAAGTCGAAATGTTTTTGTTGCAGCTGCTTCTAATGGTGGTACTTTAGCTAATGAAATCAATGTATCAAATGTGGTTCATTTTGATGCTATTACTCTTTTTAGTCATCAATAAAATTCAATACATTTCAGTAAAATAATTTAATAACCTTGTTAAATAATATTCATTTTAGAATAATAGAACTTTGTAAGGTTTAAATATTTTAGAATAGTTCATTCAGGAGGTTAAGTTATATCAGATGAGTGGGGGTTCGTAACAAAATTGGCAGAGAAGTTAGAAGTTATTATCTCGTAAACATGCAAAAAAATTAATCACTTCCATTATTCATTTTTCCATTTTTGTTATTATTACTATTTTGTTGCATCACTTTTTTATTATTTAAATATTATTATGTGAAGATTATTATGTTAATATCAGGTTGTTGTTATTGTTGTTGTTGTCGTTATAGGCTTAAAATGCAAGCATTGAGATTGCCGGTTTAATGAGATCATTAAATCAAAAACTGACGGTGGTGTAATGGTAATGTTGGGAGGATGACGACGATGACGACGACGATGATGATTTTTAATAAAAGGATGGTTTATTTATGATGGTATTTAAAATTAATTATTCATTTGTTTATATAAAGTTTTAATAAGATATTTTAATTTGATTTAGAAGAATAATCGTAAATATGATAAATTTTAATGAATTTAAATAGATAATGTAAAGAACAACAAAAAACAGCAGCAAAATTTTGTGCTAATGACAGCTTCCAATAAACCAGAGGTGTGAAAACGTTTTGCTGTGAGGGCCACATTGAGAACTATATTACCTTTGAAGGGCCGCATATGTATTTAAATAGCAAATTTTTTCGACCCGGGAGAGAATTTTTTTAAGATTTGGGCTAACAAGCCTCGCGGGCCGCATAAAATAGCTTAGCGGACTGACCGCAGCCGTAGTTTGCCCACCCCTGCAATAAACAGAAAACAACATAGATCAGCTTTGGATAACAAACACATCAGGAAATTCTAATAATGAGAACGTTCTTTTATTTAAAGCATAAAGCACACATGAAAAAGAATAAATTATCAACGTTAATTAAAATTTATTAGAATAAAATAAAATTATTATAAAATATTGAGAAATGAAATATTATATAACAAAAGAATGTGTACAACGAGAACAGGTTAGTTCCAAATGATTCTTTCAGTTAATGCTTCTATCACAATAAATGGCATATGATGACGATATTGCTGAGTTTATAAGGTTATTATTAAATTGATCAAACTAATTGAAGTTAATTAAAAACAAATTAAAACTAGTATAAAAACCTAGTGGCGAAATTTAAAAAGTGTTTATTTTATTTTAAAATGATTTAAACCGTCAAGCAAATGTTGTGCAAATTAGAACATTTAGACAGTTTTGAGGAATTTTATATTGTTAAGGAAGTTTAATTAGTGGCAGACCGTTAGTGCCATTATTTCAATCGTGTTTTCTTGAAGTAATGCGATGTCAGGACGTAGTGAGCGACAAGCTTTCTGATGGACAACTGCTGATTGGCAATGAGAGCCATGTTGTTACTGCTTTAGTGACCAAAGGATCTAAGTTCATTTCAATCCAGGTCAAGTGAAACGCATACTCTGATGGCAAGTAATATCTAAAGATCTTTAATATAAGTTGTACCCGGTAGTTCAGCGACGGTTGATACTATTTCTTTCAATTTGTTGACCGTTTGACTTTGGCCTCTGCGTTGTTTCATTTGATGTCGTATAATTTACCGAGATAGACAAAATGAAGAGCACTTGTCGATCCTCAAACTCAATCCAGTAGCTATGCACCAGGCCTGACTTAAATCGACTAATTTATGAACGCTTACTGTACTATTAGCAATAATCGCCGTGTTGTCTGCAAATTGTAACCATGCTTATGTTTTCAAATTAGCAATTAGACCCAATATGTATCCGCATTGTTGAAATTCCGTTTTCTCAACTATTTTCATTAGTGAGTTGATGCAAAGGTAGGAAAGCAATGAGGACACGGGATCTCCTTGGAGCACTGCACGATTGACTGGAATTGGAAGTGTTAGTTGGTCGCTTCCGGAAACTGTTATTGAATAGTCAGTGTATATGTACTTTATTAGGTTGCTTATGTGGAATGGGATGTGATGGTAGCCTTGAGTTGATGAGATGAGATTGTGACTGGCCCCTCAAAATGCGTTACGGAGGTCTAAAAAGGAAACAATTATTGTTCTTTGATGTTTTCATTGATCATTGAGAATAATAATAGTAATAGTAGTAGTAATAATAATTATAAGAACAACAACAATAATAAAAACAATAATCATGATAATATTAACAACAATAACAATAGTAATAGTAACAATAGTAACATAGTAATTGTGACAGCAATGATGACAGCCACAACAGCAATTGAGTTAGTTATTGTCATAATGCTGATAATAATTTTGATTACATCTGCAATTATTTAAAAGCTTCCCTGAATAATAAATGATAATTTACGCCTATGTTTATTTGATAAACAATGGACACCATTCTATACAACATGCATCCATACATTCAGACGGACACATATACATACATACGTACATGTATACATACATACACATACACACACACACACACACACACACACATACATACATACATAGATACATGCATACATACATACATACATTACATACATACATACATACATACATACATACATACATACATACATACATACATACATACATACATACATACATACATACATACATACATACAAGATGATGATCTGTGAAAAACCTTGACACTAATCTTTAATATAGTTTCAAATATTCAGACGTAAAAAATAAATCTTAAAAACTAAAGTATAAAGTATAGAACTTTGGAAAATGTCATTTAAACTTTCTGAAACAAATATTCACGCATGCTTTTTTTTTTAATATAAACTACAAAACAGCCACTAACAGCAGTAAATGAATACAGTACGTAAAAACGAAAAATAGGCCGACATCAATGCATTCTAAATTAGAAATAGTTATATCCCACGAACAAACACACAATGTATTTAGCAAACACGTTGCAAGAGATGTTTATAAACAAGCCTCCTCTCAGAGCTGGCTCTATCGCACGCATATTTTTTATTCATGTATTGATGTGTATATGACGTTATGAACATTGTCAAGAGCAAGGATCTCATCAAGTCGTTGATGCGATGCTAGCGATGTTTTGGTTAGATTGTTGTTGATGTTTGTGAATGTTGTGTGAGTTTGTTAGCAGTAAAAACTTTCAGATCTGTCTAACCCTAGCTTTAATTAAATTTTTTTGTTTCGTTGTTATGGTTTTAAGTTTTAATTAAACAGTCATAATATTTAACAAAACATAACACTGAAAAATTTCATTCATCTACAATATTGAAAAAATGTCCTTTATAAATTTAGCCCAGCAGATTGTCTGGTGCAAATGCACACCTATGATACATCAAATTGATTTATATGTATTTGTTATGTATGCACAGGGTTCGAAATGGTCTAGTTATTTATATTTCCATGTTTCACCCTAGATGCTAGATAATAATTTATACATTAGTTTCGCACAAGGGACTTACATCATAAACGAAGGGCATGCCTTACGTAGGTGCCTGCGGATTGAGTTGTATTAGAACGTTCACTCACTGAAGAGCCACGTCAGATAGAGCATGGTCAGACATCTTCAACGTATGCAAGTGCACACCTCCATTCATTCATGCTGTCCAGTTTTGCCAGTGATTCAATTTATTTTCATTAGAGCCCGGTTTCGTATTTATAGAAAAATGTGAAATATAAATATATCATCAAAATTTAAAATAAGAAATATATCTTACCTTTTATTTACGCACAAATAATCAAACTCTTAAACGAAGTTGGTTAAATGCGGTTTGTATCCTTATCATAAACAAGTTCCATTAGCGCATGCAAAAGTTCACATGCACGTACACTCACATCATGTACACAATCTCGTGTACACATATTTCATACGTTATTGTCATACAGACATCTGCGTATGCTCACAAATAGGTACATACATATTCACATGTATGGAACTTCCGACTAATATCTTTTACACAACGGATGTGGAAACCTGGTATATTTAATCACATACATCTAAATATACAACGTACATGTACGTACACGGATTAATACAAAAACATAAACATGCTAAAAACATTATGCACGTAAGGCACACACACACACACACACTCACACACATACACACACACTCACACACATACACACACACTCACATACATACACGTGCCGGTGCAAATTTTTATACAATATAATGAATCTGAACCTGTGTGTTGTTATTTTTCAAAACTACTCGATACGATATTCAAATTTGGTCTCGGATAGCAACGCGAGGCTAAATAATAACGAGACGAGGATCGTCGCGTACCACAAACCCGTACGCATGTTGGGAAAGCATGAACATTGCAACAAGGAACATAACACTGACGTACATGCATGCATGCATATCCAATATGCGAGGTAAGTGCATCTACATTTGAGTGCGTACAAACACATCATGGTAAGGAGGCAGAGTTTGCCTACTACGTACACACAAATAATCAGGCAGATTTACAAACACATAGTGAAGCGGGCAGGCATGAAATTATGAAGTACACATTCTAGCCATGTGTCAATACCACGGGAATGAATGGTTTTATTGATCAATTGTACTCTTGCGTGTTGTCTTGTGCGTTTGTGCTTGCGTGTTAAGGGTGTGGGATGTGTTGTATGTTTTTGCTGCTGTGTGTGTGTGACGGTCCGGTTGTTGTTATGTGT